AGCGCGAAGGTAATATAAAAATAAAGCCCGTATGTCCATTTTTAATAAGTCAAAGGAAGTGAAATCTATGGATTTCCAGTGAGTTGTAGAATGAAAGCCCTGAGTGCGACTCTTGGGGTTTTGGGAGCAGAAGAGCCTGTTTTGGTCTGTAGTGACACAAAAAGGGACCTGGGCTGCGGGGACACCTGAGTGGGACCACTCCGGCGGCGTTCGCGCTGTCTGAGGGACTGCTCCTGTGTTGCCACCACGTCTCCCTGACTGGGTTCCTGGTGCTGCCCCTGCTCCCTGGGTGGGAGCTGATCTGCTCCTGGTGGCTGCTGCTTCCTTTGTTGGCAAACAATGGTCTCACAAAAGCATCTCTGCTGCTGTAAAAGAGTGAGGTGTCGCTGGAAACAAAGCCCAATTGGGCCAAAAAGGCTTGAACTCCTTTCCCTTCTCTGGAACTAAATTCTTCAGTGGTGGACAAGGCAGAGAGGGAGAAAAGTTGTTTTATGGCAGACTGTTGCCTCCATTAAAAAAAAACCAAACTCATGTTGCTATTGTATCACTTCATATTTTATAAGTACATAAATTTATGCCACGTGTAATTGTTTTCTTCTTGTAATTTAAGGAAAAAAAAGCTTAGATACAGCATTGATTTTTTTTTTTCTTTTTTCCAGCTTACAGTTGTGCTGGGATGTACTGCAACCCTCACTTTATTCAGTAAGGAATAGGGGTGGTGGTGCTTGGTGACATCTCTTCCCCCATAGAGCGTTAATTCCATTGCAGAGGTGTTTTTCGTAAACACGCGGGATTCTGACTTGAATTCGGAAACTCCGCAGACTTTTTCAGTTTCCCCACGTACACCTGGGCTCTTTCGGGCTGGTTTAGGTAAAGGAATCTCGCCTTCTGGGAGGGGACCAACTCCACTCTGTTGTACGTTAGGTTTTGGGTTTATACTGCTATTTCTGGGGGCAATTTGTGGAGATAACAGTGATGAATCATCCGTTAATACCTGTCACATCCAGGTAGTCACAAGAATCCTTCAATATGCACACGTATAGACTCCCTTCTTGTTCTTCAGCATCTGAATCCTATTAACAGCTGTCAAAACCTGGTAAACTATTTATATGCTTTCCCAATTTGTTTAATTGGATAGTTAGGAAATGGCATACAAGAAAAGCTTTTCTTTTTTCTTTTCTTTTTTTTTTTTTTTCCTTTAGTCTGGCTGAACATCTGTAGCATTAGGGGCTCATTATCTCTGAATTGGCATAGCAAATCAGCAGCATCATTAAAATGCCACATTAAGATGATTAAGTTTCTTTGTTATCCAGTTGACTTTTTGCATGTGCTGAGGATTTCATGATTATGACCCCACTCCTTGTAAAACACTTGAGCAACATCACCCTTTTGTGCCGTTGTCTTTAATAGCTTCTGTTTTTCATTCTTTGTGCTTTTCATAACACTGCTGGCAAACTTTGCTTAACAACAGGACAAAACTTACAGTCTTTTCTCTATATTTGATGCCAAGGTCTTGGATTAAATATAGTAGTTGGGGGGTTTTCCTTCTGAGACTTCCTCCTAGAGACAATAGCTACAATAACACTCTACGTTGTCCTAATTGTTTGCTGCTATTGACTTCTCTTTTATTCATGCATTTTATAGAACATCTACAAACCCTGTTCATGCGGTGACTCAGTCTGAAGTTGCCACCACAGCTTTATTTTGGATTTTTTCCAGAACCCATTGTTTTTACAGTGTTTCAGGTGAAACAAAAATATTACTCTGGAGTATGTCTTTCATCTTGTAATCATCTCCCCAGGAAATGAAACCATGTGCATCAGCCTTAACGCATCACTCTGGTACTTTGTTGTGTAAAATCTACATTATTTTTTTTCTGCAGCGTATATTACCTTCGTGAACTGCCTCAAGAAAAATAGTTCCTTGGCTTGGACACCGCGAATGTTTTTTTCCTCTTGTAACCTCTTTGCTTTCCTAAGCACTTCTTTTTTCAACTGGGGCAACTTTGTTAGTGTTGTTGGGATAACTGTTTTCCCTCAGCTAAATTTCCCTTTTTTTTTTTTTTTTTCACTTGAAGTTACCACCACCTTCCTCTTGGTTAAATTGGACCAGTCTGGAAATTCCCTAATCTCATTACAATGTGTTGATATGATTTTTTAAGTAACAGATACAAACCTTTCCACGCAGCTGCTGATCTCCTGATCTCATAGTATTCCCTGTGCGTGCCAGTACACAGAGCAAAAGTTAGGGCTGAAAAAGGAATTTGGTTGCTTCAGGACCTCAGCAATCATCTGGTTAATTTTAGGGTGGCCTGTGCTGGGCTGTCTTCTCCTCAGACTCTGGGTGGCTGTCAGGAAGGCAGAGGAGACTCTATGAACAATAACGGGTGTGTTAGGACAGAAAAAATTCCAACCCTTCTAACATCTATTTGGTTAAAAAAAAGCCTCTTCCCTTCTGCTGTCTGTTGTCATCGGAGGGTGAACTTTTCCGTTGAGGTTCCTCAAATGCCCACGTGCAGACGGAAAGTATTTGGTGGGATGTCACTGGAGCAGGGGTGGTGTTTGCTGGGGGAAGGCAGTGGTGGAAAAGCCATGAGCAGAACTCAGGTATGTCCTTCTCCACACAAGCATCGTGAGCCGTCGGCGTGCGGTACGGAAAATGCAGAGGTCGTTATTTTCCTCAGTGGAACCACGGGATGGCTCGCCCGGTTCGTGGCAGTCAGCAAGTGGGGAGCTCAGAGCAGCCTTCATGCTGTGCTGCTCTGGCACAACTCTGTAAAAAAAAAAAAAAGAGTGAAAAGCTGTGAGCCATGAACTTGTGGTGAGAAACAGTAGAAAACGGTAGAGAAGCCGTCTGAGTTGGAGGCTGCAGCCAGCCCTTCGCTGCGGGGCCACTGCGTCTGATGCAGACAAAAAGGTGAGACGTTGAGTAGAAAGTGGGAATTGAAATTCTTTTCTGAAAGTACCAACAAGGTGCAGCTGCAAAGCGTACTTCCTTCTACCGCGCTCTGCAAATTAGTTTGGAACGGCCTCCTTTTGAGAGGGAAAACAAGCATCCAACTATCCCCAAAAACCCCCTTTTTTTTCTGGGAAAAGAGATTCTATTGAAAGCCGCTTTCAGCAACTGGCAATATTTTTTCCTTAGAGGGAGGAAATGGATGCATAAACAAATTTTGAAGGATTCTTGATAGCAGGATCATGCTCGCACTCTCAGGCACAAGGCTGGCAGCAGAAGGAAGGAGGAAACCCCATTTTGGTGGAAGGAGGACTGCACCCTCAGGCATGAGGCTGGCAGCAGAAGGTACCTGTGGAGGAAACCCCATTTTGGTGGAAGGAGGACTCCCCAGGCTGGGAAGCTGAGCTGGTTCTGCAGAAGGTACAGAGAAAAACAGCCCATTTGGGAACCTCCAAGTTTTCCACACTTCCATGGATTCTTGCACAGGATGAAGAAATTATCACCCACCTGTTTCTTCCACCTCCCTTCAACCCAAAGGGAGATGGATCGGCTGGGCTTAGTGCAAACATTTAAGCGTAGAGGAGTGATTTTTATCACTAAAATATAGTTGAAAATTGGGATTTCAGGAAAGTGTCGGTCGGCAGATCTGTATTTTTCAGTGTTGCTTTTATGTTGCTACCTCATTTTCGCTGTCACCCATTGTTTGTTCTTGGCATTTGATGTGGTTTATTACTCAGAACCAGAACTAATACATATTCAGCAGTCCGTGTTCTGTACTTTGGAGAAAGGACAAGTGATTAAGTGCCATATTTAACTGTCTAACCCTCAGTTTGAGAGAGGAGCAGGTGGCCATAAGAACAATACTTTCAAACAGGAAACTATGTATTTTATCTCTTTAGTGCTTTTCTTCACTTGGTAGCTTGAGGCATAACTCAAGTTTCAGCCATGGCCTGGCTCCTGTCTGGGTGGAAAGTCGGCTTTGAGCAGAAGGAAAAGCTTGTCCTGTCAATTAGTAAGGATTTGGATGCGAGTGCTGGTAATACTGGAGTTAATAGTGGAAAGGAAATTCCACAACATAAGTTGGGAATCATCAGCTGTTTATATAGTGTGACCAATTTGCTTATATTTTTACATGGGAGCATTATTGTTAGTAAATTATTAGCTACTTGTTGCATTCTCCTCCTGCCAAGAAATTGCATTCATTTCAGGCAATGTCTTTGGTTTTCTTTGGACACGGCTCCAGGTGCAGGGACCTGTTCAAAGGCCATGGATGCTGGTCTTCATGAGTCCAGGTTCTTTGTCACACGCTCCCAATGTGACTTCAGACAAACCTTTTAAAGTTTCTGGGATATGTTTATTTATTGGGAACTCTTTACCCTGCCTCTGCTGGTTTTACATAGTAATGGTATGATTCAGGTGTCAAGATTATGGGATGCTCCTCACACATTTGAGATCTTTGGATAACAATTGCAATTTGCAAGTGAAAATTAGAATTATTGATTAGGATTAACTGGTGAGAATCAATACCATGGGAGCACTGGAAAGTCTTATTCTGGATCAGACTTATTTCTTAGGCATGTTTCAAGCACCAGAGGTTCCACAGGAAGATAAAAGTATCCTTTTTTAATTTGTGTCTTTCTGTATTTCCTGTTCACAGGAACAGCCCGAGACACTAATTTCTATAGGCTAATTGTGGGTTGTGAGAATAAATATTTTCTTTTGAATCCTGACTAGTACCCTGTGATCACAGGAGAAGTTTGTACTGTGTTATACTTTTATAATCTGTAGAAGGAAATTATCCATCGAGGGTAATTAACGGGCAGGTCAATATTTTTAAAGGTTATCTGGCTGTGAGTATCATTAAGTGTACATAACCCACCATGATTCATGTCTCAACTGCATTTCTTCATCTTTGGGTGTTTAAGTAAAGCTTTTCGGAAGATTGATAATGTAATTTTGTGTAATTTTTGGTGAGTTTTTTCTAAGAAACTTCATTGTGCCGAAGATGAGCCTTTTTTCACTTCTGTGCTTTGTTTTACCTGCAGATGATGTGGTTAAAGTGAAAGGTGAATACAGTGAGAGAGAGGAGAATGCTTTAAATTCAGAGCCTATGGAAAACCCAGAAGAAAATGAAATGCCTTACACCTATCCCAGAGAATATAACGAATATGAAAGCATTAAACTGGAAAGACATTCTGGTTCATATGACAACGTCAGGCCAGCTAGTGGAAAAATGAATTGTGATATCTGTGGATTAGCCTGCATTAGCCTCAATGTCTTGATGGTTCATAAGCGTAGCCACACTGGTAAATATCCCTCTATTATTCTTGTAAGAGCTGAATATTGAAAGGATAATAATTTGTAACCTAGACTACTTATTTTTAAAAAGGATACCAAAAATCAGGATTTCCTTGTTCAGTCCATGATGCCACATGTGATCCCTAACAAGTTACTCACATTTCTGTGCCTCACTTTACCCATCTTTCTTCTTACCAGGATTGAATGTTAGAAAAAGCATGTTTGTGAGGCATTTTAAGAATTTTGGATGAAAGGCACTATGTGATTTAAGTATTTCAGGCACAAAACACAAGTTAGATTGGTTTTGTGCTGCCATTTCCAGTCGGTATATGTATTTCTCTTTGTGCTGTACTTTGGCAACAAACAAATGAGCATCTTGGGTTTTGACCTGCAGTAAGATAAGAGCTTTTTTTTTTTTTTTTGTCTAAAAATTGCTAGCTTGTTGGAATCAGCCTCCTGCAGAACACTTATTTCCATGGAAAAACTGTACAGCATTTTCAGTAGTCGTACATCTGTTACAAGATGCTCTGACACCAGAGCTGCCTGTAACTCCCACTGAAGTCAACGGAAGGGCTGTGTGTGTTGCTATAGAAAGAAATTGATCCAGTACCTCATTCTTTCCCCTTCCAAAAAGGAAAGGGTGTGAGGATACCATGATACCCACGTAACCATTAAATGTCCTTTTTTGTATGTCATTTTAAGGTGAACGGCCATTCCAGTGTAATCAGTGCGGAGCTTCCTTTACTCAGAAGGGTAACCTCCTCCGCCACATTAAACTACATACAGGGGAAAAACCTTTTAAATGTCATCTTTGCAGTTATGCCTGCCAAAGGAGGGATGCGCTAACAGGTCACTTAAGGACACATTCTGGTAAGTGACTTCAAAGACACTTCACGTGTTTTACTTGTGTGTCACTAGGACACTGGGCGTGGAAAGAAAAAAAAGTCAGTCAGCAAAGTTTGCTCAGCTGCTCTGGTTTGGAAGAATCGACGGATGGCTCTGCCTGCTCTGCTGATGGAATCATCTTGGGACACAGCTCTGCTCCTGATGCTGAAAAGAGGGCACGGGGAGACCCTCTGTCACAGCTGTGAGGAACCACCAGCCTCCACGCCTGCTCGCCCAAAAGAACTCCTTGGTGTTTTCCACTGAGGAGCGAGGCTTTGCCAGCAAGCTCTGAGTTTGAGGAGCAGCACAAAGATGTGCTTGGCTGGGACTTCCTTCCGATCCTGTCCCGAGCTGTGGGATAGCTCTGGGAGCACAATCCAGGACTCTATGGCCGGTTAACGCCTCGCTATTGCATAGTGCCATTCATCTGAAGGTCTTAACATGCCCAACACACACCAGTGGTTTTTCTCAAGACTCCTAGGGTGTTCTGTCCATTTTACAGATGGGAGAAGTGGAGGCACAGAGCTGAGGTGACTTGAATAACAAGCCAGGTATAAATTGATTAGTCTTAGTTTCCCCAGTTCTGCAGGAGCCAGGGTGTGCTTACTCTTTGATTTGTGTCTACCCTGTGTTATACAGGGGCCTAGAAAGAGAACGTGTGTTCTCAATGACAGATGGTATCTCTGCACTGCACTTTACAGGGAAAAAAAAAGAAGTTCAACCTCTCAAAGAACTAAAGTTAAAAATGAGATTGTCTGACGGGGATAAATGAGATAGTGATTTAATCAAGACGCAGCACAGTGGTGGTGACTGTCCCCCCACCAGCACAATGCTAAAAACATCATGCTTCAAACACATCGTGTGGTTATTGTGACTGAAGTTTTCAAGAGCTGGCTTATTAAATAGTATAAAGAAAATCTCTTCAAGTGAATCACATAATAAGTGAGCAATTGCATTAGCAGCAGGGAGTATGGTCTTTTTGCACAGCATACAATGCAACGCTGGTTGTATTTGTGCTGTAGAGGGATGATATTTTGCCTGGGTGTGCTAGAGGATGTCTCTACCCAAAAGAGTTATGAGATAATTTAGGAAGTGCTTCCAGTCCTTGTGTCTGAGGCTCTGGGGGAGGCTGCGTGGGTATCTTGAGTTTCAAATAGATTTGTTTTAGCTTAAATGAATTAGGAACATGATTTGCTTTATGATAAATGCCTTTGGAAATGAAATGAACCTCACGCATGGTTTTGGTTTGGTTTAACGGCACCAGTTTTGTGAAATTGTGGAAAAATCCTGCATAGCCAGGACCTGGGTGAGGCAGTTGGACAGTCACAGTCCCGGTTTAGCAGCGGTGGAGTTGGTCTTACCCAGGGAAGTCAAGCCAAGAGCCGGGCTCTGGGAACCCGAGCTCCTGGGGACAGCATTTAATTGTTAGTCCTTTTCTGGGGCAGAGCTTGGGGCTGAAGAGGGCCCTATGGGAATTCTGTGTGTCCAGGGGGTTTCACCCTTACGTAGCCCTCATTTTGTGATGATGACACTGCTCATCAACTTAAACAGAAATTTAAAGCATTCTCCATGAGCCGAGCATATGCTATTAGTAACTGTATACTTGAATGGTAGGTAGGCAGTGTTCTAGTTGTCTCTCGTGGTTATTTTATGTTGCTCTCTTATTTTTCTAGTGGAGAAGCCCTACAAATGTGAGTTTTGTGGAAGGAGCTACAAGCAGAGGAGCTCGTTAGAGGAGCACAAGGAGCGGTGCCGCACGTATTTGCAGAATGCGGGCATGTGTGATGCTGGTGAGTTTATAACGTTACAGTGGTTTGGGGGTTTTTTTTTTGGTACATTTCAGTTCTTAAAAAAGGGCATCTGGTAAGCTGTTAATTCACAGCCTGAGAACAGTTTTTACTGCAATCATTTTCAATAACCTGAGGGGCTGTAACATTTTATAAAAGGGTCTGGTTTAATGCATCCCTCAGGCAACTAGTTAAAGAATGCTTTTATTTTAATCACTTTTTTATTTCACAGTTACTTTGACTAAAACCTCTAAAATACCTTGTACACAGCATTTCTGTAGGTGACACTCGCAGTAAGTTAGATTATTCCTACATTAATGTGATTATGGGGGTTATTTTATTGGGTGCCCATGGTTGTTGACAGCAGTTGTTCACGTGTCTCAGTCCACTTAATGCTTCCTTTTCTTTAGAATAAGATCTGTTGGTCAGAATCAGTTAGAATTTGCAGAAGTTTTAGTGGCATTGATCTAGGGCATGGAAATGGGGTGATATCCTGGAGATCACTGACCGATGCACTTAGGGAGGGAGTGAGAGGTGAGGGAGTTACTTGAGTACAGAGCTGTCTTTGAAAAAGGGTGAAGGTAAAATGGATCAAAACACAGTTTTCCTTATTTTCCTTTTCCTAGTCTCAGTGCTGCAGTTCTGAAAATACTTTAGTGAAAAAATAACGGCCATAATCTTTTAGCCAGCTTCACCTGAGTATTTCCATTCCTAACATGAACTTGTGTGATATAAGTCCCACAAGATGCCAGTAAATCAGGAAAGAGTTACTTCTCCCATTCAGAGTCAGGGAGTGGTTTTGGCCTCCCAAAGATTGCAGGACTGATCTGTAGCAGAGCTGAGGCTACAATTGCAGAATTCAGGTTCTATGCAGCCCTAAGACAAAGAAACAAAAATAACTTTAAGGAATCAGGCTTCCTACTTTTGATTGTGAATTTAAAATAGAATTTTCTTTACAAGGAAAGGTTAGGCTGAGTTTTCAGGGAAGAAAACTAAAATAAATTGATTAGTCTTAGTTTCCCCAGTTCTGCAGGAGCCAGGGTGTGCTTACTCTTTGATTTGTGTCTACCCTGTGTTATACAGGGGCCTAGAAAGAGAACGTGTGTTCTCAATGACAGATGGTATCTCTGCACTGCACTTTACAGGGAAAAAAAAAGAAGTTCAACCTCTCAAAGAACTAAAGTTAAAAATGAGATTGTCTGACGGGGATAAATGAGATAGTGATTTAATCAAGACGCAGCACAGTGGTGGTGACTGTCCCCCCACCAGCACAATGCTAAAAACATCATGCTTCAAACACATCGTGTGGTTATTGTGACTGAAGTTTTCAAGAGCTGGCTTATTAAATAGTATAAAGAAAATCTCTTCAAGTGAATCACATAATAAGTGAGCAATTGCATTAGCAGCAGGGAGTATGGTCTTTTTGCACAGCATACAATGCAACGCTGGTTGTATTTGTGCTGTAGAGGGATGATATTTTGCCTGGGTGTGCTAGAGGATGTCTCTACCCAAAAGAGTTATGAGATAATTTAGGAAGTGCTTCCAGTCCTTGTGTCTGAGGCTCTGGGGGAGGCTGCGTGGGTATCTTGAGTTTCAAATAGATTTGTTTTAGCTTAAATGAATTAGGAACATGATTTGCTTTATGATAAATGCCTTTGGAAATGAAATGAACCTCACGCATGGTTTTGGTTTGGTTTAACGGCACCAGTTTTGTGAAATTGTGGAAAAATCCTGCATAGCCAGGACCTGGGTGAGGCAGTTGGACAGTCACAGTCCCGGTTTAGCAGCGGTGGAGTTGGTCTTACCCAGGGAAGTCAAGCCAAGAGCCGGGCTCTGGGAACCCGAGCTCCTGGGGACAGCATTTAATTGTTAGTCCTTTTCTGGGGCAGAGCTTGGGGCTGAAGAGGGCCCTATGGGAATTCTGTGTGTCCAGGGGGTTTCACCCTTACGTAGCCCTCATTTTGTGATGATGACACTGCTCATCAACTTAAACAGAAATTTAAAGCATTCTCCATGAGCCGAGCATATGCTATTAGTAACTGTATACTTGAATGGTAGGTAGGCAGTGTTCTAGTTGTCTCTCGTGGTTATTTTATGTTGCTCTCTTATTTTTCTAGTGGAGAAGCCCTACAAATGTGAGTTTTGTGGAAGGAGCTACAAGCAGAGGAGCTCGTTAGAGGAGCACAAGGAGCGGTGCCGCACGTATTTGCAGAATGCGGGCATGTGTGATGCTGGTGAGTTTATAACGTTACAGTGGTTTGGGGGTTTTTTTTTTGGTACATTTCAGTTCTTAAAAAAGGGCATCTGGTAAGCTGTTAATTCACAGCCTGAGAACAGTTTTTACTGCAATCATTTTCAATAACCTGAGGGGCTGTAACATTTTATAAAAGGGTCTGGTTTAATGCATCCCTCAGGCAACTAGTTAAAGAATGCTTTTATTTTAATCACTTTTTTATTTCACAGTTACTTTGACTAAAACCTCTAAAATACCTTGTACACAGCATTTCTGTAGGTGACACTCGCAGTAAGTTAGATTATTCCTACATTAATGTGATTATGGGGGTTATTTTATTGGGTGCCCATGGTTGTTGACAGCAGTTGTTCACGTGTCTCAGTCCACTTAATGCTTCCTTTTCTTTAGAATAAGATCTGTTGGTCAGAATCAGTTAGAATTTGCAGAAGTTTTAGTGGCATTGATCTAGGGCATGGAAATGGGGTGATATCCTGGAGATCACTGACCGATGCACTTAGGGAGGGAGTGAGAGGTGAGGGAGTTACTTGAGTACAGAGCTGTCTTTGAAAAAGGGTGAAGGTAAAATGGATCAAAACACAGTTTTCCTTATTTTCCTTTTCCTAGTCTCAGTGCTGCAGTTCTGAAAATACTTTAGTGAAAAAATAACGGCCATAATCTTTTAGCCAGCTTCACCTGAGCATTTCCATTCCTGAAATGAACTTGTGTGATATAAGTCCCACAAGATGCCAGTAAATCAGGAAAGAGTTACTTCTCCCATTCAGAGTCAGGGAGTGGTTTTGGCCTCCCAAAGATTGCAGGACTGATCTGTAGCAGAGCTGAGGCTACAATTGCAGAATTCAGGTTCTATGCAGCCCTAAGACAAAGAAACAAAAATAACTTTAAGGAATCAGGCTTCCTACTTTTGATTGTGAATTTAAAATAGAATTTTCTTTACAAGGAAAGGTTAGGCTGAGTTTTCAGGGAAGAAAACTAAAAAGTAAAAATATACTTAGAGAGATGACAAGGGCCTTTAATAATTTTTTTTTAAAGAATGTATTTATTATATGGTTATGAAGCTGTAAAAATATACTTAAAGAGATGACAAGGCCCTTTAATAATTTTTTTTAAAAAGAATGTATTTATTATATGGTTATGAAGCAAAGATTCTGCAGGTGTCCTCAGAAGCTGGGCCTGAAAACGAGTGTGAAGACTCATTGATATTTGATGATGGTAACGTAGGTGCAAGAGGTCTTACCCCGTGCAGAGTGAATCGGTTGGTGGATCAGGCTTTATGACACATAGACACAAAAACCGCCATAAAACCCCAAAGATTTAACGAAGTTAGCCCACAAAAAACTATAAAACTCTATCTTCTTTTCAGCAAATGACATTATGACATTTTTTTTAGAGCATTAATAAAAGTAAATGGTTATCAGAATGTCAGCAGGTTTTGGTTTTCATGAGAACCCATACAGACTGTAACTGTGGTTTTATGTTACAGTACGTACCCCCATGATGGCAATCACTCCGAGATGTCCACCATGTGAAAATGGAAAACATGGGACCTGCTATAGATTTCTGCTTTTAAATGATTCTCATGGTTTATATTCTTTTCAGAATAGCAACAATTCACTTATCCCAAATCTGCTGTGTAGCACTCACAGCAGTGGTACTGTCTGCCTTAAATTGGTCACAGAGGAAATGTGAATTTCCAGTACGACATGGTGTGGCCACACCCTATGCCTTTAAGACCTTCACACTTTTAAAAATATTGCAATGTTTTTAGAGGAGTAGTAAGTTTTATGAAAAACAGGAACCCCAGTCTTGCTGAGGCATTTCCATTCGATTCTCTGGCATCAGCACTATGTTAGATGACAGAAGCAGTGAGAGGGAAGGCTGGAAAGGGCCTCAGGAGCTCATTTACTGCATTTGACTTGGGTTTTTTTCCCCTAAGTGTAGCATTTTGCACTTGTGTTGAGTCAACATCGTTTTTTTGATTTCTGACCATTTTCCTACTTATCCACATCATGTTGAAATTTGGTGCTTTTCCGAAGTCCTTGCAGCCTTCTCACGTGGAGCCATCCTTCAGCCCAAGTACGCTCTACATCCCATCATCCAAGCATTAATTAAACGACTGAAACCCATTCTAGTTACTTTTTAGTAGGAGGTTTGCATGTTCCAAATGTAGCAGTGTGGAAATATCTCTGAAAGAGAGGTTTTAGGTAACCCTCTTGCCGGAGCGTTGTTCGGTCCCTGATAACAATCTCTGGTCACATTGTTCTCATTGCACAATAAGCCACCTCTCTGTTCCACTCTCCATTATTTAGTGACCACATAGAGATGCTACAGGAAGCAATGCCTCTAATTTGAGCTCAGCTTTGTACTTGAGGGTTTTGTTAACAATGCCCGCACGTTCTAAAAATTATACTCACATTGACGGTGTGACAGAAACCACATTATGGAAACAGTTCAGTACAGGCTGAATGAGGGTTTGGTCGTGCTCTGGGTTGGGAGAATATCCGCTCTCTGCACCTCTACAGAGTGACGTGGTGGCCCAGGTGACAGCACTGCTTTAGAGAGGCAGCTCGTCAGCCAGTGGTTCCGAGAAAACCTTAGTGTTGTTCAGAATGGATGAACTGCTTGAAAGGACACTGTAGAGAGGTTGGGGCTGGTCTCTTCTCACAGGTAATTAACGACAGAACGAGAGGGAACGGCTTCAAGCTCCAACAGGGGAGGTTTAGACTGAACATTAGGAAGGAATTTTTCACCCAAAGAGTGGTCGGGCGTTGGAACAGGCTGCCCAGGGAGGGGGTGGAGTCCCCATCCCTGGCTGTGTTTAAGGGCCGTTTAGATGCAGTGCTGAGGGACATGGTGTAGGGGAGGACTTTGTAGAGTAGGGGAGATGGTTGGACTCAATGATCCCAAGGGTCTCTTCCAACCTGAATGATTCTATGAATCACACTTGCACAAAAACTTCTCTCCTGGAAGTGTTTTATAACCATGAGATCTGTGCACACCACTGAGGAAGGACCTGGGAAGTGCCCCAGAGACACCTCGGGAGGGGACCAGGGAAGGCCGTGGTCAGTCGCCAGCGTTGGCTACGCAGGAGGAGGTGACCCAACTTCAACAGTGGTTGGGACGTTGGAGCTGGACCCTGTCCCACCACTGCATGAAACACCTCGGTTGGGAGCTTGCCTTCCTGTGTAATTCCAGAGGCAAATGTGAGACACTGGTCAGATCCAAAGCGAAGGGAAGAGGGTGATTTATTTGCCCTGCAGAGTCTTTCAGCATCTTGAGAGTTTCAGCTCTTTTCTGGCCACGCAGCTGAGCCATCGGGAGTGTTGAGACACTGGTCAGATCCAAAGCGAAGGGAAGAGGGTGATTTATTTGCCCTGCAGAGTCTTTCAGCATCTTGAGAGTTTCAGCTCTTTTCTGGCCACGCAGCTGAGCCATCGGGAGTGTTTAACTCGCAGGATCTCACGCTGGAATAGGTGAAGTGCTTTGGAAGTCCACATTTTCTTTATTCATTTTTTTTCTCAGTGTAACTTTGAGCAAAGCACTTGTCCGTTTCTGTCAGTCCAGCCTGAAATGTATTTTTAGAAACATGTTATAGTTAGATAATTAGTTCTTTAAGCTGATGTCCCGATGTGCAGCGGAATCATCCGGTGGGTGAGGTAACTGAAGAGGGAGACAGGGCATGACTACTCCTCTCAGTCAAGAAGTCTTTGGAGAACTTTGAGTGGTTAAAAACAATGTTTCCTAAATACTAAATATTATTCTTGGATTGTTTAGTAAATCACACAGAAGAAGGAGGTGTGTGAGATAATTTTAAAAAGCACTTGTCCGTTTCTGTCAGTCCAGCCTGAAATGTATTTTTAGAAACATGTTATAGTTAGATAATTAGTTCTTTAAGCTGATGTCCCGATGTGCAGCGGAATCATCCGGTGGGTGAGGTAACTGAAGAGGGAGACAGGGCATGACTACTCCTCTCAGTCAAGAAGTCTTTGGAGAACTTTGAGTGGTTAAAAACAATGTTTCCTAAATACTAAATATTATTCTTGGATTGTTTAGTAAATCACACAGAAGAAGGAGGTGTGTGAGATAATTTTAAGGTAGCTTTTGGTAGAGAGCACAGTGTTGTGGGAGGGAACCAGAGCAGCCCCTGTGTCTCAGTGGCAGCAGATACTGCTTCCCGAAGGCTGTATTATGAAGACATTGTCAAAGGCCTTTTGTGGCCCATAAATAGAGATATTTTTTTTTTTCCTTTAGGAAAAAATGGCTATTAGCAAGGAGTAGAAAATCTTAATGTGAAAGAAAAGAGCCTCAGCATTAAAATAAGACGGCAGACAGACATCAAGCTGGAAAGATTGATATTTACAGCTGTCCCAGAACATATTATGTAGGTCAATAGTTACTGTCTCTTCAGCAATCTCGTCTGAGTAAAGACTATTGTTACCTCTGCAGGAAGCTGCTTGTCTGCCCTCTCGACACTAATTTAATAAAGATCCCTTGGTGGCACATAAATAACCTTGGCGGGACGAGCAGTCACCGCCAGTGAGTTCACAGGGCTGGCTGAGGGACCTACAGAAGCTTCACTCCCGGAGTTCTGTCGGAAGATAGGGAAAAAGATCCTGAAAGTGTGAAATTTAAAACTTGAACAGAACATGAGTACAACTCACGGAGTTAAAGATTGAGAAAAGGAGGAACTAGAAGAATAAGGAAAGTGAAGAAGTGGTAGGGACCAGGGCGCTGCTTTTCTGACACGGATGAATCGTGTTTTCTTTCTCCTTTTTTCAATTTACAATGTAAATTTTTGAATATACAGCACTGTTCGTATTATTATCTTGTTCAGGGTAGTTGTGGGTTGTTGGGGTTTTTAAAATTGAAATTACTATTATTAATGACTTGTGCAATGATCCTGCCAAGACTAAAGCTTTCTGGGTAGGGGCTGGTTCCAACCTCGAGCTGCAGTTCTCTGAAGATAGCATAAAGAGCTCAGAAAGCACATGCTGGGTTTTGGAGTGTGAGAGTTAAACAGAAGTTCTGAAATTAAAAATCTCATGACCTTATTCTCAAGAATTAACTTACAGCTTCTGGCCAAAATCCAAAGGGATGATTATGTTCTGACTTTCCCTTATAGTTTCAGCTTAATCTGATGTTTTGTCTCACTCTGTGTAAACTCTTACGTAGCGTCTTGGGTGTTTGATGCTGGAAGCAAGTGCCTTTTAGCAGTTGATGAATGTATTTATGTAAGCCTCTAAACATACTAGAGTCATTTGGAATAAAAACCAGACCAGAAAAGCAGTCTGTTATTACTTTAAGGCATGCCCTCTGTGGTCTGGTTATCATCTATATCATGGGGTTCCAGCCTGATGAAACAGGGCTGGGGCAGAGCTGGGGTTGAGCCCTGTTATCCCATCCCTCCTGAGTCATGTTCGTAGCCAGCGGTTGTGGCATCGAGGACTTATGAAGCTCTTTGCATTTTCAAAACGCTGAACAAACATTAACAAATGGTTCTGGCTGAGGTTTGGTGAGTCATGGTTTGTGCTGACTGAAACTCCTGTGATATCAATAAACAGGTGAAGGAGTGACTGGCTCTGAAATGTCCAGGGAAGGTGCTGCACACTGGGCTATGGAAGGATGATACCACGTTGTTATCACTTGCTGCACTTGGCAAACCCCAATTTAAGTCCAATTCTTAATAAAACTGCATTTAGCAGGACTGAAGTGATACCAAAGTGCTTGTATCATTTTCCTTCTCTCTTATATAGATTGGACTTCCCATAGAGGACCCCCATTGAGGTATGCTAGTGCCATAGAGCAGTCACACAGCAGCCAGGGTTCTTTCTTGAGGCATGCTAGTGCCATAGAGCAGTCACACAGCAGCCAGGGTTCTTTCACGGTGAGATCTGACCCTTTGTATTACCTTGGGAGAGTAAATTGTCTTCATTTTCCTCTGCTTGGCTACCAGCTCTTAAATGGGTCTGGTTTTCATCCCCTCTTCCTTCTCTTCATTTTCCTCTGCTTGGGTACCAGCTCTTAAATGGGTCTGGTTTTCATCACAGAGGTCCCTAAGGCTGAAACTCTTAGTGCTACCATTTAATATAAAAATGCCACTACCGGGACTTTGTTCTTCAGGCAAGAGCAGGCTTTCTGGGGGGAAGCCGCAGCGGTTACATTCGGTATTAGTCTGGCAGTAGTGAGATGAGGTGGCAGCCCCTCAGCTGGGCTGAGCTGGCCCAAAAGCCTCCCCAAGGTGAGAGCGAGCAGTAATTTCCCTGAAATGATGGGCACTGGCAAGAGTGGCTGGAGGAGAGCTCTGGAAAACGGGAAGATCCTTAAAACAGCCCGTGGCCCAGTCTGAAGGGAGGGGTCATAGGGCACACGTGTGCTTTTCCTAAAATTAGAAATTCTGGAGGTTGCAATGAGCTTTGAAACACCTAATGCTGATGCTCACAAGTGTGCCAGAGAGAAAGGTTCTTCAGGAGTTTTAACTGTAGCATTTAGTGATAATGACACCTGAAAAAAGAAGAGTTAGAAGTTAATACTGAAAGATGATAGTCTTTTTCTTTTAATGAAACATTGGTATGTTTTATACAAGTTTCTAAGTGATTAGTTAAGACATGTAGGTATGACTGATATCTAAAACCTGTAGCAAGAGCACTGAGTGTCTGACAGTGGAGTTTTGCAGCGCTGTGCCCGTCTGCAGGTGTCACACAGTCTTAGTCAGAATAAAAAAAGAAAGGCTGACAGAGGTTCTCTCTCCATCTACTTTTTGTAACCAACCCTTCCAGCCAGTTTATTTTACACTTCCTCTTGCTAATGAAGATGCTGGGTTCGTATGGTTTGTGCTCTCCTTGCATGAGCTGGGGACTGCAAGATCCGTCTCCGTTTCTGTGCTGGGTTCCACTGACCGCAACTGGTGCCCAAGACGCAAAGAGCAAGAACGACAGAAAAAAGCAAAACAAGTTTACATCAGATCTCCAAACTGTTTCCTCTCAGTTAGTGTGGCAAACTCCGGAGATTAAACCATTCATCTCTTCCTTTTTTTTTTTTTTTTTTTTTTTCTTTTTGCCTTTTTTTTTTTTCCTTTTCACCTACGTGTTGCTTTTTGTTTTTTGTTTGTTTTTTTTTTTTTTTTCACATTTTCCAAACTAGCAAGCGTGGAGGCAAGGCACATCAAGGCAGAGATGGGGAGTGAAAGAGCCCTTGTGCTGGACAGGCTAGCGAGCAACGTGGCAAAGCGAAAAAGCTCAATGCCTCAGAAATTTATTGGTAAGAACAAAAAACCTTTTCATCTGCAACAGTTCAATATGTGCGAGTTGGTAACCTGTAGTACAATGCCTCTGCTTATTTTAAATATCCTTCTCAAGTTTATAATCTAATGCAAAAGAATAGAAATAAAGTAACTTGGGTTATTCTGATATGTTTTTAGTGATTCGTTGTAGGGTTTCGATTAAAATAAAAAAGAATATATTGTGTTAGATGCTTAAACTGGGTGGGAGCTGCTGTTGTGCTTTGTGTCTGTGCAGGCAATGTATAAATATATTTTATGAGCTTCTCTGTGTTGTTTTCTGTCCCTGTGTGTTTGAAATGTTCTCTGCGAGGCTCTTCCCAGGGAGAGAACAGGAAGGCTCGATGCTGTTGAGAGCTGAGAGCTCTTTCCAGCCAGCAGGAGCTGAAGGTACTTGCAGGCTGCCTGTGTGGAATAAGGCCTAGAGACAGAAAAGTATTGGATTTCTGTTAGTCAGCCTGCTGAATTTGAATATGATTTAAAAAAAAAAAAAAATATCAAATCCTTTCTTGTGGTAATTTAAGCAACAAGAGGTTTCCATAGCATTTTCTTTGCATTTAATTTTATAGGATCAGAGGTTTGCACGCTGGGGGATCTTGAATACTAGTTTGGCAGGTTTTGTGTTTCAGCGCACGCCTGATCCTCTCGGCTACTTTGTCTCATTAACTTGCCTTTTAAGAAACTAAAATGCAACTCCGGTGTCCTGAGCAAAGACCTGCCTTAGTCAGCACTTCTAGAATATTAGTACTAATAATGACTTTATTTGTTACATTCTGTATGGTTATACGAGGTACTGAGGGCTTCTTTTTCTTGCTCTAACCTTTCTCTTCGGTGTGGGGGTGGGTGTTGACACCCGTGGCCGGGGAGGGGAGATGTGTGGGGCTGGGCGTGTGGGCAGGGACCAGACCTCTCACACAGACCCACCAGAGGGACCTTCTCAGGACCTGGCTGCAACGTCCGGGGCCAAGGGCCAAACCTAGGTAGAGGTACGCAGCTAAATCCCTAAAAGCAACCTTATTTTTGAAGCTAAAACGTGGCTCTTGCTGGATTTGGTGGGTAGCACTGGACTTTCATCAGTGAAAACTGGTGACTTTTATTTTAGGACGTCTTAATATAGCCTTGAGAAAGGTCACCTTGTTAGACAGGAGCAAAATAACCCCAGCAGGCTCCCTCGGAGTGCCTTTGGGTACTTAATATTGAAACTGTTGACTGTGTGATTTAGCCCTTCCATGTCACGCTGTGATTCAAACAGTCACACTGATGCAAATGGCTTTCAAAATCTTGAAATCTTTTTTCTGGTAGCGCTGAGATCGGCTTCACCCCGTCTCGGTTCACAACGGCCGCCAATTCCATCTCTATGGGTTTTCTTAAACGCGGGACACAACCGCTCAGCACACGCTTAAAGTTAAGTCACCAGAGTTTTTCTGGTTTGTTTTACCAGCGTGCTGGTCATAGGATGGGCTAGATCCTTTTTCAACTCCTGGCTGTGCTCAGTAGCGTGGTCTGCAGATGGCATGAGACACGGGGTGCAGGACCCCATGTCCTGCACGGGGTTTTGTGGAGGAGCTGGAAGACCCAGGGCAGTTCAAGGAACAAAATAACCCATTTCTGAAACTTCATGTTTTTCTAGAACCTGTGTGGTTGGTGTGTTATTGTTAGGTAACTTGTGTGGTGAAAAACCCACTCCTTTGGGCCCTTTTCTCCCTGGGAAGCAGGTTTGCAGGAGCAGGGTCCGACCTTGCTTTGACTCCTGTGACTTTCTGACCCGCGGGTGTAGGAGTGCGGCTCTGCCGGGACGGCTTTGGGATTTCTTGGGAAACGGCCTTCCCAGAACGGCTGCTGATTTTTCATTTTGGCAGGAAGAAGGGACAGAGATGTGTACTAACAAGGCAGCTTTGTTTGGCTCATTTCTGTGAATGAAGTCTATTGATCAGAGAGAAAAAAAAAAACCAAAAAACCCCAACCCTTTGTTATTATTTGAGGGGGCTCTGCAGAGATTCCTACGAGCACCGGGAGTCTTGCCTGCTTTATTTGTTCACATTTTTGTCTTCAGGAGCCACCTCGTGTGCCCGAGTCTCAAAGAGGGACACGGATCAGCAGCCCCTTGCACTGGGCCCCCCTCCAAAGGCTTCTCCTCCAAAGATTTTGTCCTCAGCTTCTCCTTTAGTTACGGGGGAACAGGGATCTGAATGGAAGTTGACGATTCCGCGTTTCCTATTTTGCGTGCGTACGGCCCAAAGCTCCAAACCCTGGCTTTTTGTACTTCCTGGTTTGGTTAATGAACAGATTCTTTCTTTTTTTTAAACCCAACAAATGAAAATAGCCTGGCAGAGCAGATACCTGAGCTGGTGGTGCTTCGCTGCTGTATGTGGATTTCTATTTTGCGTGCGTACGGCCCAAAGCTCCAAACCCTGGCTTTTTGTACTTCCTGGTTTGGTTAATGAACAGATTCTTTCTTTTTTTTAAACCCAACAAATGAAAATAGCCTGGCAGAGCAGATACCTGAGCTGGTGGTGCTTCGCTGCTGTATGAAACCCTCACGGGGCCGTACCTTCAGTTGGCTCAAGGTGAAATAACCAGGACCTTTCTGCCCTTTTACACCAACTGACCCACACGACTCTACTTCCTTTTTAAAAACCAAGTTCTCCCTGAGAGCAGGAGTGAAAAAAAAAGAAATTATCTTCATTTCCCATAGTGGTAGAAGTGCTGGTGTGGTTCTGACACGGGTAACAGCCACCCTGACCCCCCGGCTGTACACGCTCTAATGAGAAATCAGCCCGCTTTGGTTAACGCGGCGGCAGGAAGCAGGTTCACTCCCTGTTTCCAGGGTCTGAGCCTCCCCAGGCTGCAAAAATCGACGTAGGGTTTTAGGGTAAGCGAAGCCCGTGAGCGTGTGTCACACGCTATGGCTCAGGTGTGAATTTTGGAGGGGGAAAGGCTTTTGCATCGCACTGAGACAAGAACATTCAGAACAAAAAATTAAAAAAAGAGGAAAAGGCGTCGTGCTAAGCAGTGGCTGCTTTGGACATGAACACTAGAGAACCTTACATTTCGTTTTTAACGTAGTGTTTTTCAGTTTTGAGCAGCTTAACTCGAAATAATCTGTTGTGTTGTCCTGGTGGCTACAGGAGAGAAAACATCCGGAAGACTCCTTTTCCTAAATCATTGAGACCAACTTTCTCCTGCCTCCTTGCTGTCAGTTTTGAGTGCACTGCTCGGGCTTTTTGTCTCTCTCCGTGGAAGGGTTTGCTGTATTTCACCCAGCAGAGACAAAATAAAGAATGAAGAGGGCTCCCCATCGTTGAGCGCGCTGCGGTGCCACGGCTCGGCGTTCCGGCTGCAGGATTAGCACTTTCTGCGGCGCTTTCACGCAGATTCAGCCTCCCTAAATATAGGTGTCCCACCGAGGTATCGAAATGAGAGGTGTGCTTGGCTTGGGGTGTCTGCTGAGACCAGGTTGGGGACAGAGAGGGAGAGAAGCTGTTCTTTAGGTAGTGCCTTTTCCTCCCAAAGTGCCTTAGAAACATCACAGTCTGGTTACAGCCTCATTTTGTGCCCTCTCCTATAAGGAGTCCCTACCTGATGTCCTGTGGCCTTTTAAAAATATACAGCAATGCGAGACCTTAATGTATGTCAGAAGAGCACTTGGGTATTTGCATTTCATTTGGTGTAACTGGTAATTTAAGGGAGACAGACTGGGCTACTGTGGGGACTCTACAAAGCCACCATGACAGCGGAGTAACAGAATATTGTCAGAGCCTCACTGATCATATGTTGCCTTTTTTGTGTTTTACCTTATGGCAGTGAATCCTAACCCCAAATTTGTAGGGAGTCCTGTCTATTTATACTTTTGTTGCCTTTTTTTTTTTTAATTTCAAATTTGTTCACATCTTTCACTTGCCTGGAGCTGGTTTTATGAGTCATACAAATGTGCTCTATCGTTTTGTTTCCTTCTGGGTAAGGCTGGATGGCGAGTTTTTGTTGAGGGTTGGGAGCAGTTACACTCTTGTGGTTCACTAACCTTTTGTAGAGTGTTTTATAAGAGAAACGTGAGGTCCTGGTTTTCTGCCTCTGCAGTGAAACCTAATGAGTTTCATACACATTGAGTCATGGTGTTGACAGGTGACTGATAAACATCTGCACCACTCCAGTTACCGTAACTAAAAGATTAGTGGATCTGATGTTTGCAAGTCACTTGCACGTGAAACATTTGGCCTGGTCCATTTTTTTATTATTTTTTTTTTTTTTTAAAGCTAGGAACAATTCTATCTTTTATGTAACCACAGAATTCGGTTACTTATTGCTAGACGTTTATAAAAAGAAGTGACTTTAGTCCTTTTGGGGGAGTGGTTTTATTTTCTCCTTGCACCTGGCGTGGAGAAAACTGGTCGGGATGTGCTGCCCAGCCCTCCTTCCCCTGCCCCAGTCCCTGCTGGAGGAGGCATGAGTGGAATTTCAGGTACAATCTCTTCACTCTCCTCCCTTTCTGTCTCGTCTAAGAGCTTTCAGAGCCCCAGCACACCCAGAGAGGGAGGTGTTTCACTCCTCTGCCACTCACCCCATATCAAGTCACCCTAAATGTGGTGTTTTGTACATAGACACAGAGCTGCCCGTGTTGGATTGTCTGAAAACCTGTGCTGAGCTCCAAGAGACCAGGCGTGGCGTGGAGGGAGCTGTAGTTGTCAGAGGAGAGTGCAGAAAATGGGCTGCAGTGTCCGAGGACGGATAAAAAAAGACTCTCTCAGATGGGTAAAAGTTGTGAAAAGTGCATCAGAGCTCAGCCAGCACCTGCCTGCAGTGTTCCTGTCAGAGAGGGCTGTGCTGCTCGGGGGACAAGCCAAGAACAAGAGGGTGCAGTCTTGGTACTGAAAATTGACTATTTTGATTCATTATCTGTTAGCTCTTTGACAAGTATTTTCATTAATGATTATTTTCTAGAAAAAAAGATGTGCGAAGTTAGCCTATAGAAACTTTGAGAGTATTCTTTCCCTTAAGTCCTAGAATAATTACAAAAATTTTATGATGATTTGTCCAGTAAATATCCTCACCGCCTCCTCTATTAGATCCTTTTGCTTTCAAAGCTTTAAGACAAGTATTTTCATTAATGATTATTTTCTAGAAAAAAAGATGTGCGAAGTTAGCCTATAGAAACTTTGAGAGTATTCTTTCCCTTAAGTCCTAGAATAATTACAAAAATTTTATGATGATTTGTCCAGTAAATATCCTCACCGCCTCCTCTATTAGATCCTTTTGCTTTCAAAGCTTTAAAAAAAAAATAACAAAGCCCCCCAAAAACTCCACCGAAAAGCTATTTGTGTGTATGAACAGCCTCTTTCAGCAGAGAACATTTCGTGCCTCTTTACTTTCCATAGACAACTGCCATTTAGAGGGGGTATCACGGAGTTTAAATGCTTCTCTGCCCCCCCGGGTAATTTCATACCTCTCCTCTCTTGCAGGTGAGAAACGCCACAGTTTTGATGTTAATTACAACTCGAGTTTCATTTACGAGAAGGAAAGCGACATCATGCAAGGGCGCATGATGGACCAGGCCATCAACAACGCCATCACCTACCTCGGGGCCGAAGCCCTGCGCCCTCTCGTGCAGACCCCTCCAGCCCCCACCTCCGAAATGGTCCCCGTCATCAGCAGCCTCTACCCCATCCCTCTCACCCGCCCCGACCTGCCCAACGGCGCCTCGCAGGACGCCGAGAAGAGCCACGGCCACCTCAGGGACAAAAGCCTGTCCTCCGACAGAGGCCTTTCCCCAAACAACAGCGGCCAAGACTCCACAGACACTGACAGCAACCACGAGGAGCGGCAGAACCCCACCTTCCATCAGAGCCAGGTCATCCCCGCTCAGGCCCGCAACGGCCTCCAATCCTTGAAGGATTTCCCCAGGCCCTACGACATAATCAAGCCGCCCGCCATATGCCCCCGAGATGCCTTCAAGGTCATCAACAAGGAAGGGGAAGCCATCGGCGTCTACCGCTGCGACCATTGCCGCGTCCTCTTCTTGGATTACGTGATGTTCACCATCCACATGGGCTGCCACGGCTTCCGCGACCCCTTCGAGTGCAACGTCTGCGGGTACCGCAGCCACGACCGCTACGAGTTCTCCTCACACATAGCACGAGGGGAGCACAGGGTGGTGCTCAAATAAAAGGACCCCTTCTCCAAGGTCAAAGGCTTTGCTTTAGATCGGAGGGTTGGCTTGTTTGTTTGGGTTTTTTTAATTAGTATAAAGAAATATCTCGAGTATTTTTCTATGCCAGTTTTTAAACGAGTGTCACAGGAAGATGACGCCTTTTTAAACCTTTTTTTTACCAATAATTCAGTGTTCTGTAGCATCTCTGCCCTGCTGCTGTGGTGAGCGGTACTGTACATGATACCATTTTTATACGAACTTTTATTTTTGTGAAAAGTAAGAGCCATTTAGGATGTTTCTATTTTTTTAACGTGCGTTTGTTTTTATAATGTGTGCTTTGACTCAGCGCAAAAGGCTTTATTTTTTTTTTTAATGCTGTGCTGCTGGTTTCCCTGCAGAGTCAGAAGGGCACAGGGAGAGCTTGTTCTGGCTGTTCCAGTCCCCGTGGTCTTCAAAGGGCTGATCACCCAAACGAGGAGAAAAAAATAATCTGGGAGGGATTATTAATTCCTCTTTAAAGGTTTTCCCCTAAGTCTTAAAGAGCGTGTGGCCCCACCACACTTTCATTTTTCTTACCCCTCTGTTCACTTTCTTTAAACTCACTCCCACATGTGTCTTGCTCAGTAACAGCAAAAGAAGAAATGAGCCCTGTTTTGGGGCTGGGGTTTTTTAGCAATGTGTGTTTTTGGGATACCCAGTGAGCTCACCGCGTTGGCTCATCCAATGCACTCTGGGGGAAAATCCAGATTATTTTGTTTTTTTCACTGTCGGAAAGTCCTCCTTTCGGATGGAGGCCAAGAAGGAGTCCAATGCGCTCTGGGGGAAAATCCAGATATTTTGTTTTTTTCACTGTCGGAAAGTCCTCCTTTCGGATGGAGGCCAAGAAGGAGGATGAAACCCTGCTGTGCCTTGTGTCCCCGCTCTGCAGGAGTGGTGGCCATGCCCTCCAGCTGGTGGCCAAGCCCTGGCAGGTGGCAACCCCGGGCTGGGAGCGGGAGTCACCCCGTCCTGGCGGCAGACACCGTGAGAATCTGCATAGAGCAGTGTGTGGGAGCTGAGGGCTCCATCACACCGTCTGGTTTGACGTGGGGATATCCCTCGGAGTGAAATGTGCTGTTTTGCAAGATGACTATTTACCATTACTTTGAAGCTGGTTGTTAAAATAGTTCTTTTCATCTAATCATTGCTCCGCAGCTGTATTATTAGTCACGGCGCTGAAGATAGGAATTTGATAACAGTTTTGCTGAGTGAATGTTTATTCTTTGCAAAGTATTTTTGTATAATGTAGTTAAGTGTGTTCTGATGGAGGGGTTTGCATCCATTGTATGGTTTGATATCGACGTTGCTTTTGTACTTTTCCCCGTATCCCTGGGGATCCATCCCTTTCTGTGAGGGAAGGTGGGGGCACAGAGACCCAGGGGGAGAAACCAAGGGGCAAGAAATGCTAAATTTCTCCCTCTGACCTGGGCCCACTCTTTTGGCTCAAATACTCTCTCCCTCCCTGTATTTTAAGGTACGAAAAGGGAAATTATGTTATTTTTTCCCAATAAGGGTACGGCTGGAGAAGGGTAAATTAGTCTGCGGAGTGGTTGTCTCCAGAAGTGCTCGATCCTGCTGATCCTCTGGGGGAAGGAGAACTCTTTTGCCACCTTCTGTGATGGTTATAAAATAGATTTAAAGTCTTTTCCAGTCACCAGTTTCCCGCTGTGGGGCTCATACGGTCAACGGGTGGATGTTGGCTCTTCCTGGATGAGGACCCGCTGTCACAACCTCCCCAAAGGTTCCACCAAGGGCTCAACCCGCTCGGCTGAGGATCTGCCCGGCCTCGGGGAGGCTTCAGCCAGTTCCCCAGTGGGAATCCTTCCATGACTCCATCTCTCCTGCTGCCTTCTCCTGGGGGAAGCACCCGAGATCCACGCACGATCGTGGCAGAGGACAAGGCTCCTGGTGGTTCAAGAGGAAACGTTACCGTGTCGCCTGCACAGGAAGCTCCTCGGGTGGCCCGGTGTGTGTCACGCAGCATCCCCAGCATCCTTCTCACGCCACCACCCGCTCCTTGAAAACACTCTCTGGATGACTGTCCCCCTCCACAGCCTCTCAGCCACCTACCCTTCCGTCCCAGGTGAGGTGAGCCATCCACCGCCGCGCCTCCGAGCGCCTTTGGGAAGGAAAGAGGGAGGTTTTTGCGGTGTCTGGCCCAAACAGCACCATTTTCCCCCCACAGCTCGGGCAGAGTCTGTGGTTCGAGATGGGCTCAACCAAAAGCAGTTCCCAGCTCTGACTGGAGCTGAGGAGCTGTGACCCCGTTACAGCTCTGCTGTTGATCAGTCGCATGTTGTGGAATTTCAACCCAGTCATTTATTAAAAAAAAAATATATATGTATTTTTTTTGATGAGTGCTGTTTATCTGCTGCGTGATGCTCGCTGGAACTGGGGGCTGTGTCCTCGGAAGGGGCTGGAGACCTGGACCCACCAACTCCTTGTGGAAGGGGCTGGAGACCTGGACCCACCAACTCCATGTGGTGCCAGGATCAGCCCCCTCCGTGTGTTGGGGACCCCCCCCTGGTGCAGCACACCCCGTGTGTGTGTCCCCTGAGCACCTTCCCTCCACGGGAAGGGGCTCGGGCAGGTCGCTGAGCTCGGAGGAGCTTCACAAATGACCTCATCTGGGAAAAGAGAGGGGGGAAGCCAGCGGTGTTTGTTGTGAGCCTGATTATTCTGCTCCTGGTTTGGTTATTTTGGTAGGAAACACATTCCTGCTTGGAGTGTTCTCTCCCAGTTGCTCCCTCGGCCTCGCTCGGTGTCTGTCCTCACACTGGGTCACACCGGAGCGAGGGAGGGGGCACAGGGCAGGTGCTTGGGATAGTGGCTTCTGTCACTGAGAAATGACCTTCTGGGGGCTTAGAAGTGCATGGAAATTTGGTGAAAAAGTCGTTAAACTCTGATGTATTGAAGGGACCCAGGTGCGGGAGCAGGGTCGGAGGAAACTGGTGGCCAGGGCTGTGGGCAGCAGAGCACCCACCGGTTCCTCAGCTCTGATACCCCCCCCCAGATGTAAAGATAACGGGGGCGGCTCCTCCTGCTGCTCAGAAATGGTGTCGGGCTTTACTTTGGGTCCACAAACAAGCGATTTGGTCAAGGGAAGCCTGCCCTTCCCTCTCCTGGGGGTGTCACCGCTCTCCTGCTCACCCCAGGAGCTCCGGACACATGTCCTAGGGGGGGGGAACAGTCCCAATTTGCCCCTGTAGAGTGGAAGTGATGCCCATGGGATGGCCCTGGGGGGATGTGTCACCACCAGGAACCATCCACCCACCCCGGTGTCCCCGAGCAGGGTCACAGTGAGCGTGGAGGAGCCCGGAGGTGGTGGCCTCGGGTGCAGGGCTTTCAAATGCTTGTGTCCATCTTCGTGCCACAGATCCATCCGTAGGTGACACCGGGTGTGTAGGGGGGGACAACAACCCTGCCCTCCCCCTGGCACAAAGGTTGTCCCCAAGCAGCCAGTGCTGGGGACAGGGGGACAGCAGAAGGGCCACGCACCCCTCAAATCCCTCCCTGTGCACCCACGCTCTCCCCACTCCCCCCAACAATGCTGTGTCCCCCCCCCGTGATCTGTGTGGGGACAGGGCTGTGACACCCCCCCCACAAGAAGCCTGGGGTGAAGAAGGTGATACCCAGCCCCACGGCGACTCCAGTGGGTGTGGGTTACCACCAGGAACCGTCCTCCCACCCCGGTGTCCCCGAGCAGGGTCACAGTGAGCGTGGAGGAGCCCGGAGGTGGTGGCCTCGGGTGCAGGGCTTTCAAATGCTTGTGTCCATCTTCGTGCCACAGATCCATCTGTAGGTGACACCGGGTGTGTAGGGGGGGGACAACAACCCTGCCCTCCCCCTGGCACAAAGGTTGTCCCCAAGCAGCCAGTGCTGGGGACAGGGGGACAGCAGAAGGGCCACGCACCCCTCAAATCCCTCCCTGTGCACCCACGCTCTCCCCACTCCCCCCAACAATGCTGTGTCCCCCCCCCGTGATCTGTGTGGGGACAGGGCTGTGACACCCCCCCCACAAGAAGCCTGGGGTGAAGAAGGTGATACCCAGCCCCACGGCGACTCCAGTGGGTGTGGGTTGGGCTGGTTTTTGTTTCCATGGGCTGCACCCACCAAACCGGGACACATCACTCAGAACGGAAACATCCCGGGGGGTGCCGAGGGGGGAGGCTCACGCTGAACCCCCCCCACCACCTCCATCCCATCCCACCTCCATTTTTTTAGCACCTGTTTGAGCAGGTTGACGTTCTTCACACTTATTTCATCCTCTCCTGACACCTTCCACCACAAGGGGCTTGGACGGGGCGCGAAACACCCAAAAGAAAAAAAGGAAAAAAAAAAAAAGCAGAAAAAAAAAACCAACAAAAAAAAGCAAGTCAGAGGATCCTTTTTTTTTTTTTTTTTTTAAAAATTTTACCTTCACTTCCTTCCCAGCCCGGGTGAAACGCAGGCACCAGGAGTTATTTTCTGCTGCTGGGGGGCAGGATGGATGCCACCTCTGATGGATGCCACCAAGGAGGATGCCAGCCCCCTCAGGGGTCGAGGGGGGGGGCACAGCCAGTCCCGTGGCGTATCCCCAGCCTTGGCTTTTCCCTAAATAAGAGCAATTTTGGGGCTAACCCACCCCCCTTTCTCCCTGGAAGCAGCACCCCTCGGCAGATGGGGGGATGTTACGCCAGAGCGATCCTTATCGGCCGGGAGGAGAGGCTGGAATTGCGATAAGGTGGGGAGGAACTCCTTCCCCCCCCCAACATCGTGTCCCAACACGTTTTGTAATGCCTGAAAAAATATCCCTATTCAAAAATCCTTCCATCCTCCCAGCATCCCGGCTCCTGCTGCCCCTCGGGGAGCAGTCAGACCCCCCCACCCCCCCCCGGGACTTGGGGGGCAGCACCCGGAGGGGTGAGGGAGGACTGAGTCACCGGGGCCACCTCCTCCTTCTCCCAATTCTCCAGCCTTTCACCCAGTCACGCTCCTCTGCGTGGGCTGGGGAGGGGGGGCTCTGCCAACCTCCCCCCCAAAAACCCGGGGGGGCAAGGCGTGAGTCACCGGGGGCCACCTCAGTGCCCCCCCTTCCCTTGGTGGGGGGGTTCTTTCTCCAGCGTTGGCACGGCCGAGGGGCAGTTGGTAGCCCTGGGGGCACGTGGGTGGCAAAGTGGGGTCACGGTGGTGGGGGCAACGGGTTCATGTCACGCCTGATGGGGTGTGTGTCCCCCCCCTCGTTGTT